ATGACCTTCCAATCCTGTTCTCTGTGTCACGCTAAGTCTCGCTTTTTGTTTCAGAGGTAAGGGAGAGCCTATTACTGTCTGGTGAATTCCTGTGGGGTCTTCTGAGTCACAACAGTTTCTCACATTCCCCTTTTCTTCATCTTCTTCCCTGAGATTCCAAAAGCAACTGTAGGTCTAAAGCACACCACAGTGAATACGGAGTACAGGGAATCTTTCCCCAGGATGCAGACAGGACTAACAGTGGAACAGTGGAACAGTGGAAGAGCTTGCTTCCATGCTGAAATTCTGGCTCTAAGACTTTGTTTTGAATTGCATGAGCTGCAAAAAGATTCTGAGCCACCCTTAGGAAGGATGCCTTGTCCATCTATCATCAGTGCCTAAGGTGAGCTCTCCTTCACCTTGTATTGGTAAACAGAGTTTGTGGCTAAAAAGGCCTGAAGTTTTATGGAGCTTCCATCAAGTGTACTGAAAGACTGAAGATATAGATTTGATTGATGTGTGGGAGAAGGAAGAATACAGAAGAAAAAGAGAGAGAGATTTACAGAGTTCAGGAAAGATGGGAGAGATGGAAAAAACAAAACAACTTAAAAAAAAAAAAAATCAAAGGAGCTGAAATAACAAATAAACTCCACTATTTATATAAATAACTATTATCCCCTGGAGTGTAGATAAGCTTGTTTTACTAAGCAGTCTTTTCATATTTAGACATGAAACCACATAAACAAGACCCAGAGTCATAATTAGGTGCAGAGCTCCACCACAACATCAGATCTGTTGATCTTTTATGATGAGAAGGACTGGTCTTCTCTGTGGTGCAGGAGAGGGTATCACTCAAGCTTCCACCAAGGTGCTCACTCTCACCTCTAGGCGCTTCTTCCACTGCCATGAATTATTTCTGGAGCTGAATAAAGTATTATATGAGTAGAAGATGTGATAGATATATGGGGACAACTGTCTTTTATGTTGATGCTTGCTCGCTGACGGGGCAGAGGCAATGCCGGGACAGAGCGGAGCGGGGCACAGCGCAGCGCTCCCTGCCGCCGGCGCAGGCTCGGGCGGGGACTGCGAACACGGGGCTGCCGTGTAGGGAAGGTAATTAAACGGCTCCCACCACTTTCCCTTGTGCCAATTCGGGAATTTTCACTGAACAGCTATATCGCAATTGCGAAGTCGAGGTTAAAAGAAAAGGAAATATCTTAAGAAAAATCACTGCAGTCATTTTGGCGATGAAATTGCTACACTGAATGATTCCCGAGTAATTTTCTCTTCGTTCTTACAAAGCTTAGGGTGGGAGTACACCTGTGAGAAGCGTCCGTATGTCAGCGGGGCTCCGTGCAGCCCCGCAACCCAGCAGCGGCAGAGAGAAGCAGCACTCGGGGTTACCTGAAGCGGCATCTCTGCAGTCTGTGTCCGACCAGCCCCGAGTGGGAGGGCAGCATCTCCCCGCGGTGAGGCTCTGCTGGAGCAGCCGCGGCCCCAAGCGCTGCCCTCGGCCCGGCCCGGAGGAGAATCGTGCCCTCCGGCGGCCACCGGCAGCACAGCCCGCCTGGGCGTCCCAGTCCCGGTCCGGCGGCTATGAACCGGCTGCAATCAATGGGAAGAGAAGAAAATGTGAAATGTCACCGAGCATCTGTAGGAATTAAAACCTCAGCCCACGGAAATCAGTGGGGAAACTTCAACTGATTTCAGCTGGCTTTGAACTTCGCCTGAAAGATATATCTGGAAGTGCACGTCCTCAGCTGTGCAGCCTGTCTCTGAGCACACTTATAATGCCACGATTGCATTGCTGAATATCCCAAGAAATCCTTAGCAGTGAGAGAGTTCAGTACACTACCGTCACGCACAGCCTTCCCAAGCTAAATTACAGCGTGTGTGTGTGCCATATGGGTAACACTGAGAAGCCTACTGCAACACGGCTGTAATTTGTGTGTATGCAGTATAACACACTGATGGGCAACTTCGTACGTGTAACCACCATGCATTGTTCTTAAGCGTGGTTCACATAAGTTCTTAAATTTTCCCGCTGACTTACAAATAGGCAGATGAAATGAGAGCTTCCATTCATTCTTCAGCTTGAAAGGAAGAACCACACTGGCAGCCCACACCCCCTGAAAGCAGGGAGGCTTGCTGGCTGCAGTGGGGTCTGTGTGTTCCAGCCTGAGGATGTCTTAGCAGCTGATGATTCTACACAGGGATTGAGATACTGGTGGGGGAAACTCATCCGCATGCCTCCCTATAATCACTCACATGGATTTTGCTTCAAGAGACACATGACTGAGACGACAATGAGAGTTAAAGCCCAGTTCATTGTATCACTCTGCTGAGGTTATCCCCCAGTTCATCTTCCTGAGAGCTTGGCCTTTGTGTAGCTTTGTGTTTACATCCCCAGCTGTAATTGGAGTTGTCATTATAGCTGTGATGTATTGATATCAGTATACCAGATTTTGTTTCGTCCTGACTGCACTCTATGAAGGGCTAGACACTACAAGCATGTCTTCTGGGGCTAAGATGCAGAAAGGCCCTACAAATGGATGTCAGTTGACCTAAAAAGGCCCTGGAAAGTCTCTGGGGTTGCTTGCAGATTTGCTTGCTGCCTCCAAAGAGTGAAGAATGGCTGAGAGATGCCTGAGGAGCCAGCCCACCCACACCATGCCTCCACACAGCAGAGAGCAGGACAGGTATCCTTCACTCAGTGCTGCAGGGAAGCCTGCAGGGCTGCCTTAGTGGCTGTTGGAGGATCCAGGTGTGCTCCCACTGGCAGCCTAGAAGCAGTCACCCTGAACTCAGCACTGTTTTCATCATGGCTTGGTTTCCTTTGCTTCACAGCAGGAAAGTCTAAGATAAAACAAAAACCTAGTAGAAAATGATGCAGATTGCTGCAGCAATCACTCATGCAGTGTGCAGGTCCCAGGCAGCACCATGTAGAATCTTCCAATTATTGCTGCTCGCTTTTGCTACAGCTTGAGTAGAAGGAAGGAGGGAAGGAGGGAAGGAGGGAAGGAGGGAAGGAGGGAAGGGAAGGAAGGAAGGAGGGAAGGAAGGAAGGAGGGAAGGAGGGAAGGAAGGAAGGAAGGAAGGAAGGAAGGAAGGAAGGAAGGAAGGAAGGAAGGAAGGAAAAGGAGGCAACCCTTACCTTGGGGCTGCAGCTTCTGCCAACATAAGGGAACCGCAACATTTCCCAGGTGGGTCATGGTGTTGAGGTGCTGGCAGAGGACTGCTGGTCTCAGCAATCACAGCAGGGACAAGTGAACAGTGGGGAAGCTGTGCTCATTCCATGTGTGCCTTCCCTCACTTGGTAGGTCCTCCTGTTTCTTGCCGTCCTGTTCCTGACTATCTCCCAATAGAGAAAGTTAGGATAGGTAGTTGCTTTCTCTCTCCACCGGCTGGAAGCCCGGTGGGGGCAAGCTTTCCCGGAGGGGTAGGGGGAGGCAGCTTCTGACCGCGGCGGGAGGCTCTGAGCGCTGCGGTGGGGACGGGCCGGGCCGCACTGAGCCTGGGCCGTGCTGTGCCTTCGGCGGCGGCTGTCTCGGGGTCCTGGCTCCTCGCAGAGGGGAAAGAACCCGCAGGAAGCGGGAACAAACGGCTCTTTTCTCCCTGAGCAAGAAGCCTCTTTTTTTTTTTCTCTCTCTCTTTTTTTTTTTTTTTTTTCCTCCCCCCTTGGATTTCCCCCTCACCCTCAGCCATAGCACTCCCTGTTATTCAGTTAGTCCTCTTCGCACACCCACCTAAGTCGCTGCCAGGGAGCGTTGCCCCGGCACTGGTGTTGGGGTGCCCCAAGCGTGAAAGCAGCCATGCAGTGCCTTCACAGGGAGTACCAGCGGTGCATGGCCCCGGCTACTCCTGGCTGGCAGCTTCTGCCTTTCTCTTGTACGCTTTCCCCGTTCGAATCTGAGCTGTTGTTAACAAGACACACCACCTGCTCGATGCTGCCAACGAGCCGGGACGGAGACACAAAGGCGGGGGATGGGGAGAAATTGCTTTGCCTACTAATATAATTGAAAATAAATATGCTCGGTTCCCAGGAACGAACTCGGGTGCCTTCGAGGAGGGCAAATTGAAACGTGCGGTCAGGGAGTACAGGGAGCTGGCAAAGGGTCCCATCACCGCAGTGCCAGGCTAGGCTGGAAGGATGCGGATCTCTCCCGGAGTCCTCCTAAGACCAGCGCAGGCACTAACGCCTGTGTCCGAAACCAGTGTTGAGCTCCCCCGCCGCTTCTAGACCTTCTCGGCTTTCTCCGAGAGCAGTCCTCCAGTCTGACAGGACGGGGCTGTCCCTTTTCCTCTTCCCGGCCCAGAAATGTGCGGCCGCCTCAGCAAGCCGGACTCTGAGGGGGGTCGGAGATGGGAGCGGGACACAACCAGGATGTGCCTGGATGCTCCCCGCGAGGACTTTCTCCTTCCTCTCCCTTTCGCAGTGAGCCGTGCCCGCTGCAGCGGGGAACGTCCGAGATTTTGAAGCAGTGCCCCGGTGCTGCGAGGCAGCCCCCAGGGTGCTGTGCACACTGAGCGGCTTTCGGCCCCTTCCGCCGCCCCACACAGGGCACCCCACCACCTTCCTGGCCCCCAGCAGCATCCCACAGCCGAGAGCGAACCGAGAGAGTCTGAGAGAGAAAGAGCGAAGAGGGGAGCGGAGAAAGGGGCTGGGATAGGGGTGTGCGTGTGCCGTGGGGGGGAACGGGGGAGAAGGCCGAATCACTTGTGAATGGCTTGAAAAAAATAATCGGGGGAGGGCGTGGAGGGGGGGAAGCGGAAACTTTCCTATAAAACTCAGCAAAAGTCCCTCCTCTCCACGTCAGGCCAATGACACTGCTGCCCCCAAACTTTCCGCCAGCAGGAGCTATAAGAACCTCCAAGTCTTCAACTTTCTCCCAATCCCAGACACCTCGAAGGGGCTCCAAGGAGGGATCGGGAGGGATTTTTTTTAATTTTTTTTTTGCTCGGCGTCTTTTTTTTTTTTCCTCCTCTTGGATCCCGATGCCATCCCCCCTCCCCCCAAAGTGAGGTCCTCCCTCCCTCCCTCCCTCCTCCTCCTTCTCCTCGCAGGCCAGCGAAGCAGCCGCTCAAGGGGGAGCTGGCGGGTTAGGTGCCCCCCTCTTCTCCCTGCCCTCCCCCCCCTCCCGGCCCGCTTCTCGCGTCTCCCCCCAGAGATGATGCAGCAGGACGAGTCAAACTCGCCAGTCTCCCCCGCCGACGACAGCTTGAGCAACAGCGAAGAGGAGCCGGACCGCCAGCAGCTGCCCAGCGCCAAGAGGGGGGGCCGCAAGCGCCGCTCCAGCCGGCGCAGCGCCGGGGGCGCCGTCGGGGCCGCGGACGAGCCCTGCAGCCCGGCGCAAGGCAAGCGGGGCAAGAAGTGCGGGGCGGGCGCGGGAGGAGGCGGCGGCGGCGGCGGCAGCAGCAGCGGCGGCGGCAGCCCGCAATCCTACGAGGAGCTGCAGACCCAGCGGGTCATGGCCAACGTGCGGGAGAGGCAGCGCACGCAGTCCCTGAACGAAGCTTTCGCCGCGCTGCGGAAGATCATCCCCACGCTGCCCTCGGACAAGCTGAGCAAGATCCAGACCCTCAAGCTGGCGGCCAGGTACATCGACTTCCTCTACCAGGTCTTACAGAGCGACGAGCTGGACTCCAAGATGGCAAGCTGCAGCTATGTGGCCCACGAGCGGCTCAGCTACGCCTTCTCGGTGTGGAGAATGGAGGGCGCCTGGTCCATGTCCGCATCCCACTAGCAGGCGGCGTTCCCCCCCACGCATCCCCCCGGCAGGAGCCCTAGGTAAGGCGGGGACCCCCAGAACGGCGGGGAGAGGCGCGGGGGCCGCGTCGTGAGTCCGCCACGCGTGCCGGGGGAGGGGGAAAGAGGAGGGGGCCTGAGAGTCCCGAGGCGCCCGGCCTGCAGCGGGGAGAACGGGACCGCTACACGGGGCTGCCACATCATGTGGAGGTCCCACGCGCGGCGGGGCGCTGCCGCGGGGGTGGGTGGGCTGCGGGCGGGGACGCGGGGCGGGTGCGGCCTGAGCGCTGCGCTGCGGGACTGCGGGCGGCTCCCGGCCGAGAGTGTTCAGGCGGGGACCCACGCGAGGCCCATGGAGCGTTCCTCGCAGCCTCAGCAGCCGTGGGGCGTCCCAGAGCCGCCGCACCGCGGGCAAAGCACGGGCACGCGGCTCGCATCCTTTAGGCGCTCACCGTTCGTGTGTTTGCGGAGACAGAGAGGTGTAGAGGGCTCTGCATGTACCTTTCATCGTCAGTAACGAGTTTTCCGCCCTCTCTGGGTTTTTTCAGATTACATTGTTCCCACAGAAGGAGAAAATGGACAATCTAGAGACTCTGAAGTTGGATACCGTGTTGTGTTGTTGTTGTTCTTGTCTTAAAAAAAAAAATGTGCCAAGGATTTCTTGGAAATTAAAAGAGCAGCATCCAAAGTGAAAGCAGGGCGTGGGGAGCACTTAAAGAAAGTGAAAGAGCCGAGGGCTTGGACAGTGCCTATCCGGTGGGCGTCGGTACAATCCATACATCTCTGCATTCTGATAGAAGTCTGAAGCGTTCCATTTTTTTATTTTTTTTTTTAATTTTGACGAAGAATGTTGGAATCTATCTTTTTTTTTTTTTTTTTTTTTTTTTTTTTTTTTTTTTTTTTTTTTTTTTTTTTTTTTTTTTTTAATGCATGCATTCCCAAGAGGTCGTGCCTATGAGCCACTGAGGAGAGGAAGTACGTTACTGTGGACTTTACTTCATTCTTGAATGAAAGCAAGCACCCAACCAAAGTATCCCTGTAGAGATGAAAACTTTTTTTTTTCTTTTCTTTTTTTTTTTTTTTAGGGGGGAATAAGCTGGGCTCGAGCTGTTATATACCCGGTTCCTAATTTTTTTTTATTATTATTATTTTTCCTCTGAGAAAAAAAAATAAACATTTTATTTATTTATTGATGACCCATGTTAAAATGCAAATAGATCCGGTGTCTAAATGCATTCCTATTTTTATGATTGTTTTGTAAATATCATTGTATATTATTTTTCTGCAATAAAGAAATATGATTGAAATTTTAACAACCTTCAGGTTTGGTCTCTCTGAGAACTCCGGCTGGGAGCTGGAGATAAACACCCGCTTGTTGGGCTTAAAGGCACCCAAGAGAGAGGGGCCACAGTATAAACAAACCAGGCGAAAAACGAAAATAAACCGGCTACTGACAGACACAGGCGCTTTATTTATTGGGACAGCTTTATTATTCCGCACCGAGGCTTTGGGGCGGTGGGCTCCCTCCTCCCTGTCCGTGCCCCAGGTGGGAGGCAGGAGTCCATCCCCAAGCGGCTTTGGCCATATCCTTTAGCAAGAAGTATCGGTTTTAAGCAGGGATCCGTCCATTCGCAGGCAAAGAGAAAGTGAGTTTGCAATAGGGAAGTGCCTAGCGAGTGGGGTTTTCCGGTGGAAGTGATGTCTGACTGCTCTTGCTCTCTAGGGTCTTCCGTATAATATATAGAGTGGCGATCACGTTCTCGTTGTGCAACGCACGGGGATGCGCTAACCCGCCCTCTTCTCTTCTACACGTAGGGCGCGGCGAGACCCCGGTGTAAGAGAGAGGAAATCTCCAGACCCGAGGGCTCAGGAGGAAGGTGAAAAGGGGAAGATGCTCAAACAGCAACAAAAAATACCAAGAAAAAACCACCCCCAGCCCTTAACGCCCGCTGATTCCTCCTCTGCTGTCCCTCGCTCGTTTCCCGGCTCCCTGATCCCCCTTTCTGCCCCTCCGCGGAGGTTGCGCGGGTGCGCAGTGCCGCCCGGGAGCCTCGCAGAGCCCCCCGCGGAGCCGGGGTCGGGCAGCTGTGACTCAGCCGGTGTCCAGGGCAAGGAGGATGGGGCGTTTGTTCAAAGCAGAGCCTGTTTGCATAGCCCAGGTTCAGTTGACTTTATTGCCTGAATGTTTTTGTTTCCATATCCCCATATTACCTTCTATTGCTGACATAACAGTCTTATGAATTTAATATCGTGCATATTTTAGGCCAGTGAGCAATGTTTACAGTAGAGAGCCCGCAGCGCTTGTTTGTATTGCCGGATTAGCGAGGACGTGGAAATTGAATGGGGGCCGCGGTGGTCGCGACCCCGCTGTGAGCTCCCGAGGGGCTCTGCCTCCCTCGCGGCCCCTCTGCTCCTCTGCACCTCTCCGGAACCCTCGTCCCGCTGCGGGCCGCCGCTGGGAGGTAACGAGCGGCTGAGGGAGCGGAGGGGCAGCGGGACTGGGAGACGTGAGCGGGGAGGGGGAGTCAGCGTTCTTACCGGGACGGAATCACAAAGGAGGGAAAAGGCTCCTTTAGGGAGAGTGGCTCGTTTAGGATGAAGCAGATTGGGAAATGAACTGGGAGAAAGGATGCTCGTTGCGCTTTGCGCACGGGGTTACCTGCGGGATACGGGGCGAGGATCCCGACGCGTTTACGAAGCCGTGAGCCACGCTCTGCTAACCCTGAGAAACGGGCCGAGCTATCCGGAGCAGCTCCGCTTGTTGAACTCCAACCGGACTGACTCCGTCGCAAACAGCACGCAGCGGGTGAGAAAATCCCCCATTGCTGTCCGCGGGGCCACGAGCGCCCTGGGGACACCCGCCTCACCGCGGACTCCCTCCGTTCTCTCCCTGCTGCTGAACGACACCTCCGCTTCACTAAAAGGAGATAATCCCGATTGAAAAACACAAATGTGACCTTTCCTGGTTTGGAGCTGGGGATTGCCTAGGCCCGGCGCTCCTAGAGCTTAAGCCAAAAGTGATTAAGTCAGTCAGGATTCCTCAAAGGGGGAAAAATGTATTGATGAATATTAATTCGCCTTCTGGGGATTTTAAACACTCTCGCAATCAGCAAATTAGCTTTGGAAGTCCTGATTGATTTTGCTTCTCTCCCCGAGGCACCGCTACGGGAGTCCCGCTTACTCACATACACGCAAACCCGAGCGGAGCGAAGTTCCGGGCCCATCACTCCCCGCTCACCGCCCCGGCCCGGCCGCACCGGCGGTCCCGGAGTGCTGGGAGCAGAGCAGAGCGAGGAGAGGGACCCGGCGCTGCGCCTCCTGCGGGGCGGGGGGCGCCGGCCGCTGGCCTCGCGCATTCCTCGGTTTGGCAGGGGCCGCCCCGCTGCTTTCTCCAGGCCGGTATCGGGTTCCTCCCAGGCGTATGATTTCACTTGAAGTCCTGCCCAGGAGCCCTTCAAAGCGCACGCTTGTCCCGCTCCCATGATGTCAGGCGGTTTTCCCTGCATCTGTAATTTTAAGCAAAACAAACAAACGCGCGGTCGGGGTGGGGGGTTGAGAGGAGGGTACAGAAATCACGGAAACTACGCGGAAAGCTCCGGGGGGAGAGGGGCTCACCTGCGGCGCCGGCAGCGCCGGCACCTGCCGCTCGCCGAGAGCTACTGCTGGGTCCCGGAGCTCCGGAGAGGGGTGGGGAAGGGGCTCTGTTCCCTGCACGGCCCCCCCGGAGCCCGGCGCCGTTCTCAGCTCTTATGGCGCGGCCCTCACCTGCCCCGGCGGGGAACGGAGTGCTCCGCCATCGACAGGCGTCTTGGGGTAGTGGGAGTGGAAAGCCACCCCGCAGAGGGTTGCGGGTGGCTGAGGGGAAAAAAGAGGCTCCCGCACCAACGTCCCACCAGGACTCGTTTTATTTGCCGCACAGCGTTAGCTGCCCGCAGTAAACATGGCACAGGATGTATTTCGCATTAACTCGTGCACCAGCTTCTCTCGGCTTCAGCCCACTTAATGTTCCTGGCAAATCAAAGCACGTGTCCTTTGAAGAAGGTGTGTAATTGGAGTTTAAGGCATGTATGGAATTCCCAGATGTCTATAAAATACGCAGGAGCATTTGGCAGGTCACTGGAAGGTGGAGCAGGTTACAATCACGAGTACAAATGTCCCCTTTTCCTTTTTAAAAGCAGCCAAGAGGCCGCGTATACAAAACAGCGTCCGAGACTGCGGGTTTTACAGAACGGGAACAATAAAGCAGCGGAAACATAACTGTGACAATAGCACCCATCCGAAAATCCGAACCGAACGCAAAACAAAACCAAACATTCAAAGCAGGAGGAAAGCTGCGTGTCAGCACCGCAAGTCTCGGTCTCTGCCAGCTTAGCAGCTCCGAAAACTCTCGCTGAGGCTGGGCTCTTGTGGGGAGCGACACTTCCTCACTGCTTTCAAAAAGATGTCGCATTATATTTGCAGCAACTTCGTGAAAGTTCTCCCGTGCCGTGCGTGGACGCGTTTCTCTCTGAAAATGTCCTGACAAACCGCGCGGAAATCAACAGCACTCCGATGATAACAGCAGTTAGCAATAGCAGAAAAAAAATAACGGTATCGGGTTTGGATAATGAAGCACTCATTATGTGGCTTTACAATGTTGGAGCAACACTACGGAATACGGGGATGCTGCCATCCCGCTCGCTGCCGTGCAGAGATCCCCACGCGCAGAGTTGCGCTGGAAGGGGACCCGCTGCGCACTCCTAAAGAGGGGAGACCTGGAGCCAGGGGCGGCGGGGACGGATGAGTCGGGAAGGGCCGAGGTCGCTCCCTCATGTTTAGGGCAGCTTTGTTCTGTTTGGGATGGATGAGGCAGGGTCATTAACCGAGCAGTCAAGAAAGGAGCGATCCGCACACTGCAGCAGTCGGGGAAAGGGGATCTTCGGAGGGGAAGGGATTTTGACATGTGAAAAGTTAAGCAGGTACCTGAAGGAGGTTTATTTTGACCAGATGTTGGAGCTTTGTGAGAATGTCACGTGAAAGGAACAGATGTACAACTTGCAAATGGAGCCCCGCCTTGTAAATATGGGCAGAGAACGGCTCTCGGAAAATCAAGTGTAAATCTTTCGTGCCATTTTATACATGTG